GACTGGTTTGGGATGAGTTGGCGATATGTGATTTGAGCTTTTTTTTTTCTTATTTTAAAAATATATTAGTTTGTATTTCTGGGTGAGGGGCATTTACTCTTACCTGCTCTAAGTGGGTCGTATTCTTACGTACTGTATGACTGAGATTAATAATTATACGGTTGTGTATGAACGTGGACAGAGTGAGTTTGTTTATTTTTACTGTTAAGCCTTATGTTTATTCGTATCTCGTTTCGTTTGTTTTATTATTTCTTGTCAGTTATTTTCATTGCAGTATTGTTTTATCTGTTCATTACTGCGGACTCCACAAAATAACTATCATACATCTAGATCAAAGGTTTTCAAAGCATTTTTAACCTTGGGCCACTGACAAATAAATTTATGTAACATATCAGTTTTGAACTGACCATCACTAAGGTTTATTGATTTTAATTCCTTAATCAAACTAGCTTCAACCAGAAGTCTTTCTGTGACACAAGATGATTTAAATACTTCTTAGCTTTTTTCCCAAGCAATGGGGTGATTATTATTCCTAACATGAACGAACAAGGCACTGCTTTCAAATGCTGTTCTGATATTATACTTATGTTGTTTGATTCTGAGCTGCAGTGTTTTTCCTGTCTGTCCTACATAATTACAATTACATTTGCTACATGGAATACAATAAACACTTCAATTTACATTCAAACTTGGGCTATTCCTTATTAACATATTGGTAATGGTTGAGTCATACTTGAAAACAACATTAATATTTAGAAGCTTGAGGGACCGAACTAACGGGACAAATTCATTACGATAGGGCAGAGTCAAAATATTCTTAAGTGTAGGAACTTGTCTGGTTTGAGAGGAATGAAAGGATTTTTTAGCCCTTTTAAAACAACGATCAACAAACACAGAAGGGTACCCGAGTTTCTGTGCAATGGAACGAATGTGTTTCAATTCATCGTCAATAAATTCAGAGTCACAAATACGCAGACATCTTAAGAACATAGCAGAAAAAACTGACATTTTGGTAGACTCAAGGTGATTCGATAAAAAGTGAATGAAACTGTCTACCTGTGTGGGCTTTCTATATACCTTAAATTTATAGTTTTGGCCATTTCTCATGATAAGCATATCAAGGAATGGAAGGGATTCATTTATTTCTCTTTCAATTTTGAAGTAAGGTACCCCGTTGTTTTCTTTTCCGTGTGATTTTATCAAGATTTATCTTATCCACGTTTTCATTGTGGATTTACATATATATATATATATATATATATATATATATATATATATATATATATATATATATATATATATATATATATATATATATATATATATATATATATATATATATATATATATATATATTAGTTCTGGAATTGATAAGTGGCAGGGTTGAAGTATACACTTTGTTGGTTTTTCTTTATTGTTGAGAGTATATTGTACCTTCTCTGCTAAGGGAAGTGTCTTCATGCACTTATAGGAGAACACTTAGTGAGGTGTTCATTGGGTAGCAAGTGATATGAGTCTCATGTCCCTGACCAAGGGAGAGAGGGAGAAGCAGGCCTCACGAATGTGATAAAGGAATCGCGTCAGCTATCTTGTTCCGCTAATATGCGCTGACCACAACCTGCCCTCACTCCCTCCCCGAAGGAACTGCAACCTCAACCATGCATAACGCCAACAGCTGTGAAACTATATTTTTCTACAATAAAGAAAAACCAACAAAGTGTGTACTTATGTACTATATATATATATATATATATATATATATATATATATATATATATATATATATATATATATATATATATATATATATATATATATATACATATATATATAGCTATATATAGAAGAAAACACAGTTCCCAATATAATTCACATATATACATATACATATACATATATATATATATATATATATATATATATATATATATATATATATATAATATATATATATATATATATATATATATATATATATATATATATATATATATATATATATATATATATATCAGTTGAATAACTTGGTGAATAATTTGGTATTATACATTTGGGTAAATATTTATATAATACAAATGGTGCTGTTACATACTTACCCCTAAAGACACAGAGCTGGACAAAAGTGATATTACTAGAGCTAGCTTTAAGTAGGGTAGACTTCATGAGATACTCTTTAGGTGTTCCCAAATCTCAGTCATGGCTGAAGAATAAAATCCTAAGTGAAAAGGACCAAAGAAACACCTCGGTAAATCTACCTTATTCACGAAAATTTATAAGACATAATATGAATTCACACCCTACCTAAATGGGCCTCAGCATAAGCACCACTGACTTCCACCTACCATTCCAAAAACAGATCACACAAATGAAAAATTTGCTATATTGAAATTTTTAAAATTCGAAGATATTAATACCTACTTCTGTGCCCTCTTTGTTTACAAATCTATCAATCACTTGCTTGACAATAATTATTTCCAGTTCCGGAATAATCAGAGATAAATTTAAGGCACCCAGAGCTACTAAGACCACCCCCCATGCTCTCCTCTCAGTCCCTGACCTCCATAAAATATCACGGTGTGAAGGTGTGGAACAACTTACCCTCACACATCCCAGCAAAGACTATGCTCCCTTCCTTTAAATCATCTCTTAAAAAATATCTATTGTCGAAGTATTAATATTTCTTGTAACACTTACTATATTTACAGTACCTGCTTTTATTGTACCATCAAAACCGTAATTTCTAGTGTTTCCGGAGTATTGATAAAACAAAACATCACGTATAATTAAGTATTACCAACCAGTTCATCCTTCAACCCAGAACTCTTACTTTGGAGAATTTAAAAAAAATAAATCATTACCTCTTTTAATTCCTTCAAATAATATATTCTTGATTGACGTCTATTTGGTGAGTTAGTTTGTTTATCTCCGCAAATGTCCCTGATGTTTGTGTTTTACAAAGCTATTTGACTGGAAGGGTAAAGAGCTGCTTCTGCATCCTTTTAATTCTTGATTTCCTTTACCGCTTCAGTGGGTGACATAAATTGTAGAGATTAGTGTTTTCCCGTATCTCCTCACCCAGTTGATAGAAACTTGGAGTGGTTTTCTTTCTTCTCCTCAGTAATTTAACTTCGCATTCGAGAGAAAATTTCGTGTGTTTTCTGGGAAGGTTGAGGTGTGCTCCAGAGAACTGGTATGTGTGTGTGTATCCTGTGTGGTTTCCAGCTGGGATCAACGAAACTCATTGTGTTAATCCAAATTATATCAAGACTATTGGCACTACATATAACACGCTGTTTTTTTCCTAATACAAACAACTCTATTCAACGAGACACTTGACAAATCTTGTTGCACTGTGTATGTACAGTATATTTGTCCTATCATTTAAAAGAAAAAAATCTTTGACGTCAGAAATGGTCCTAAATTGAGCCAGGACGTTCCAAGTACAATTTATCAATTACAGCTGACTATTGCACCCTGTGTTATGGCTCTGTTCTCCGGCAGATGGGTTTTCATCTTCATTTGTATTTCGGAAGAATGATGTAATCTTGCTCACGTGTGTGTGTGTGTGTGTGTGTGTGTGTGTGTGTGTGTATTCTGCAGCATTCTTACTGCTTCAATTTACTCCAACATTGCAGTCAGTGTGGTGGTTGTGTGAGGTAGAGGAGCAGATAACATTTTCTGTAATTATAAAATGTTTCATAACTTAGAAATATTAGTTATCTCTGTTTGTAAACTTATTAGCTTTCTTCCTTTCTTAGCGGATTATTTAGCGCGAAAGTAAGGGTGTTCTCTGACAGCTCCTCTGTCAGAGTGCTGCTCTAACCAAACTCTTCATATTAAACTCGAAACACAATTTCAGGGAGCTGGAGGAAGAGGCGACAACCCAGCAAGATATTGACAAAAGTAAATTGACGTCTGCGTATTTACGTGAAAGGAAAAAGTTAAAGCCTTCACACCTGCACGGAGTTCTGTAGACGACACATCCTACCTACGGTACTAATATTTGGGGGTTTTAATGTGATTATCTGTCATTCTTCGACGACACAGCTGCCAAGTGACACAGAGCCAGTCCATGTATGATAAAAAAAACTTTTCTGGTACATAAAAGCAGCATTTATATATGTGTGTGTGTGTGCGCGTGCGCGTGTTGGTGCAGCGCATTTCAGTGATAGGGGGCGCTGTCAGCCAGCTGCATTCCCTCATTAGTCTCTGGCTCCGGGCGACGCTTCTTCTGACGCCCGCCGTTTCCCAGCAGCTTACTGTGTTGATTGGGTGGATTACCTCTGTCCTCTTGCCTTCTGTTATTTCAGTTTTGTATCAGACCTGATTGCTGTTAACTCTGTTGTCGCCACATTTATGGACATCACATTTGTGTTACTTTCTTTTCAGATTATTCCTACTCTTTACAATACTGTATTTAGGTAATCTTAATTTTGTAGTTTTATAATTCTCGTTTTAAATATTAATATTTCTTTGCATTTTAAATAACCTGTCTTGAGTGATCTGTTTATCTTATTTTTGTTTAATTGTTGTCATAGTTATTTCCTCAAGTTATATTCATATTTGACGTTGTTGTTGCCTTGTTTACAGGCGCTGGTTGCACGTATCGCATTTACAGGCGCTAGTATACATGTTTTGTGTACACGCGCATTTGTACGTGTTGTCTTGTGTACAGGCGGTGGTGTACTCAAAGGTACTCAAACTATCCAACCAGGAGTGAACTCGTAACAATGGCTTTAAATTAGACAAATTTAGATTTAGGCGGGAGACAGGTAAACACTGGTTTGGAAATAGAGTAGTGGACGACTGGAACAAGTTACCAAACATCATCATTAATTCAAACTCGCTGGATAGCTTCAAACATAGGTTGGATGGATATATGAGCAACGGGACTGCCCAGTATGGGACAATAGGCCCGCTGCAGTTTCCTCCATTCTTATGTTCGTATGTGTACGTGTTGTCTTGTTTGCAGGCGCTGTTGTACGGGTTGTCTTGTTTACAAACAGGGGTGTTCGTGTTGTCTTGTTTACAGGTGCTGGTGTACGTGTCGTTTTGTTTACAGGCGCTGATGTATGTTTAGTTTTGTTTACAGGAGCTGGTGTACGTGTAGTTTTGTTTACAGGCGCTGACGTATGTGTAGTTTTGTTTACAGGCGCTGATGTATGTTTAGTTTTGTTTACAGGAGCTGGTGTACGTGTAGTTTTGTTTACAGGCGCTGATGTATGTGTAGTTTTGTTTACAGGCGCTGATGTATGTTTAGTTTTGTTTACAGGAGCTGGTGTACGTGGCATCTTGTTTACAGGTGCTGGTGTACGTATTGTCTTGTTTACAGGCATTGGTGTACGTGCTGTCTTGTTTACAGGTGCTGGTGTACGTGATGTTTACAGGCGCTGGTGTACGTGTAGTTTTGTTTGCAGGCGCTGGTGTACGTGTTGTCATGTTTACAGGCGCTGGTGTACGTGTAGTTTTGTTTACAGGCGGTGGTGTACGTGTAGTTTGTTTTGGCATTGGTGTACGGGTCTTGTTTACAGGCGGTGGTGTACGTGTTGTCTTGTTTACAGGCGGTGGTGTACGTAGTTTTGTTTACAGGCGGTGGTGTACGTGTAGTTTTGTTTACAGGCGGTGGTGTACGTGTTGTCTTGTTTACAGGCGGTGGTGTACGTGTAGTTTTGTTTACAGGCGGTGGTGTACGTGGTATTGTTTACAGGCGGTGGTGTACGTTTTGTTTACAGGCGGTGGTGTACGTGTTGTAATGTTTACAGGTGCTGGTGTACGTGATGTCTTGTTTACAGGCGGTGGTGTACGTGTTGTCTTGTTTACAGGCGGTGGTGTACGTGCTGTCTTGTTTACAGGCGGTGGTGTAAGTGTAGTTTTGTTTACAGGCGCTGGTGTACATGTAGTTTGGTTTACAGGCGCTCGTGTACGTGTTGTCTTGTTTATAGGCGGTGGTGTACGTGTAGTTTTGTTTACAGGCGCTGGTGTACGTGTAGTTTTGTTTACAGGCGCTGGTGTACATGTAGTTTGGTTTACAGGCGGGTGTGTGTATATGTGGCGCCGCTATACTCTAGTTACACACGCCCAATTACTATGCAGTTTTAATAATTGTTTCTCCTATTTTGCGAAACTACAGTATACGAGCCAGATAGAGGTTTTTACACACCCACTTTTATCCACAACGTTACATTTCACTTAGCTGTATATGCAAAATGATCCCATAAAAATTGACGGACGAATTGGAAAATAGAAAATGTTAAAAATATTAATACTATGAAGTTTGTTTTTGACTATTGCCTTGGCTGGTTTGTTATCAGTGTGGTAGAGCGGGTCCTCTATTTGCTTGTGTAGCTTCCCCTTGGTACTGTTAACGAGGACGTGATGAGCTCGATGGAACCCCACATGTCGGGTGATTGTCATTCGTCATTTGGTGATTGATCTGTTATTGTAGTTACCATAGGATTTTTTTAGGCCTGATTTATAAAACAAATTACATATCTTTTTATTTACTTATGATCATTACTATTATAGTTGATATTCATTTCTTGTTGAATGAGAGTATTGAGATTGTCCTGTTTGTATACATTTATTTTCCAATGGCAGTATTGGATATACCTATAGTTTTTGCTATCCTTGAATGAGTTACTACGTTTAAAGTGTTACACTCACTCCGTGTCGCAATGAACATAGAATTCATCTCTGCAGTTTGCAGGGTGGGGGGACCGGTGGTAGATGCGGTAACGTTCTTGCATCGCAAGCGAGATGTCACGGGTTCGATTCCCGGGCCGGTGGAAGTTGTTTGGACTTACTTCCTAGCCCCCATTAGTCCCTGTTCACCTAGCGGTAAAGTAGGTACCTGTTGTAAGTCGAAAGTTGCGAATTCGTATTAAGGGAAAGTTGTTGGAGCTTCCAATAACTTCATGACATAAACCACTGACTCTTCAGGCTTCTACGCCCTTGACTCTTCAGGCTTCTACGCCCTTAACTCGTGAGACATAAAGGCAAGCATGAACTTAGCATGCTTCCCTGTTGGGCGCTGTAAACGCTTCTGCGCTTCACCTTACACAAGGATGTAGGGGGGGTGCCCAATAAAAAAAAAATAAAAATAAAAAAAAAAGTTTGCAGGGTGTTGTCTGTTTCACTTTGAGCATATGTAAATGTGTTTGAATAAAACTACTATAAAATACCATTTGATGGATTTAAAAAAAAAAAAGTTGATGGGTCGTCTAGTTGCCAAGGAAGAGTTGGTCAGGTTTGGGAGAAATTGGGTCAAAGGTCAAGGTCATCCTTTAAGGTGAGGTTTTGCAAAACAGAATTGTTGCTGTGTTGAGTCGATGTTTTGTCATCATGGTAGTTTGATATTAGTTTTGTTTTTACCGTGATGTGTTATGGTGAGATTAAATTTATTTTATATTGCAACCTTTACAGTTTACTCTTTCTCCACTTATATCAAGTATGTAAAAAGGTTTTAAAAAATTAAAAATTCCATATGACAGTAGTTACATTTAAATTTCTTATTCGGTGTCAGAAAAAAAGACAAGTCGGGTGTAAACGTTTTTATCTCTCAGTAACATAATGACATGTGACAGTATCACTGGTCTAAACATTTTGTGCTTCGGAGATAAAATGGTTTTCCCTTTATGGATTTTGGGGCGGTGAAAACGAATACAACCATAAAAACATTGATTGGCAATACTGTAGTTTCTACGAAAACTTAATTTTCACACTTTGTATATATGTAGACAATATATTAGTAACATTCAATGGTCACTTACTTATCTTGAGTAAACTTGGCGATTTTTGCTTGTCTCTTGTATTCAAGTTCTGGGGCATCTCTTGTTACTGTCCAGCAGTAGTCTGCTAACATTGATTGGCTTCATTTCCCCTGGTAACGTTTCTCCATCGCTGAGATGTCCTGGTGGAAACGCTCATCATGTTCATCGCTGGCTGCTCTGCAGCTGGCCAGAAAAAAAAATTCAAATGAGAATGGAGGAAATGTATCTTCAAAGACATATTGCAGCCCATTTTATGATAGGACGACAGCAGGTTTTCCACCAGCTTCCTGTTATTATCAGCTTTGATATTTCCGAGAAAATTGATTGTCACTAACCGGAAAGCATTCCACGCTGTCTTCTCACCGCTCAGGATACGGTCAAACTCCTCATCACTGAGGAGCTCGGGGATCTGTGGACCAACGAAAACACCCTGACAGAGCTTTCAGGATTATGTCTAGTTGGCAATTATGTTTATTGCAATGGTAATTACTTATATATTTACATAGTAATTTCCGATAAAACGGTTTTGATGGTACAATAAAAGCAGGTACTGTAAATATAGTAAGTGTTACAAGAAATATTAATACTTCGACAATAGGTATTTTTTAAGAGATGATTTAAAGGAAGGGAGCGTAGTCTTTGCTCGGATGTGTGGGTGTAAGTTGTTCCACACCTTCACACAATGATATTTTATGGAGGTCTGGGACTGAGAGGAGCGCATGGGGGGTGGTCTTAGTAGCTCTGGGTGCCTTAAGTTGTATCTCTGATTATTCCTGAAATGGAAATAATTATTGTCAAGCAAGTGATTGATAGATTTGTAAACAAAGAGGGCACAGCAGTAGGTGTTAATATCTTCGAATTTAAAAAAAATTCAATATAGCAAATTTTTCGTTTGTGTGATCTGTTTTTTTTCAAGTAGGTCATTGTCCGTACAACTCTCTTTTGTGCAGTAACCAGAGATTGTGTTTTTGAAGAGCCAGAAGCCCCCATAGTGTGTGACAGTGTATCAGGTGTTGGTAAACAAGATCATGATAGATTTCTTTCATTGCTGTGAGAGTGAGTGACTGTCGAGTGTGATACATGATACTGCAGTGTTTATTTATTTTACTGTGAATGGCTTGCATGTGGTTTCTCCAGTTATGTTTCTCATCAACAATAACTTCGAGGAATTTAGTATTTTGTTCGCGTTTGAGGACTATATTACCAAGGTACAGGGGGTCCAAGTCTGGGGGTAAGTTTTTTCTTCTGTGAAAGATCGTGTAGTGGGTTTTCTCAAGGTTTAAGGTCAGTTTATTACGTATTACCCAGGTCCCGACTTTAGTTAATTCAGTGTTTATAGTTCTCATCAAGGAATGGAGGTCTGAGTTGCTGGCATAGAGATTACTATCGTCTGCAAATAAGTTGTATTTTATGAGTGAGCTGGCGTGGACTATGTCGTTTATGTACAACAAAAACCGTACTGGACCGAGAATGGAACCTTGGGGTACTCCATACAAGATTGGCGAGGAGTCAGATTGGTGGTTATTATAGCAGACATACTGCATCCTGTTGGACTGATATGAGGTAAACCAATTGTAGGACAGGCCCCTAACGCCGTAATGTTCAAGCTTTGAAAGGAGGATGGTATGGTCGACGGTATCGAAGGCTTTAGAGAGGTCCAAGAATATACCGACTGTGAACTGACTGTCATCAAAGGAATTTAGGATGTCATTAGTAAAGGATAGCAGAGCACTCTCAGTTGACCTTCTAGCTCTAAATCCAAACTGGGAGTCTGTAATGATGTTATTGGCATTGCAGAAGGAATTTAGTCTATTACATGCTACCTTTTCCAGTATCTTACTCACGGCTGGGAGGACTGATATGATGGCGGTAATTCTTGAAGAGACCTTTGTCCCCAGATTTTTTATATGCCTGGTGGACTTTAGCAATTTTCAGTTTATCCGGAAAGACACCACTAGTGAAGGAGGAGTTACAAATGTGGAGGAGAACAGGTAGTAATAAGTGGGCCACTTTCTTAATGATGCTCATTGGTATATTGTCTTCGCCTGCTGCTGCATCTTTGGACTTTTTATGATGGCCAGTAATTCATCTGCTGTGACAGAGGATAAGAACAGCTCATTTTGCTATCTGTTTTGCAGGTAGGCTCTAAATTCCTCATGGTGATCAGGGATGCTCTCTGCAAGATTTTTGCCAAGATTAATACAATATTCATTGAACTGGTTGGCAATGGAGGAGGGTTCCATTACAACTGAATCATTTATCATAAAAGCTGAGTGAGGGGCCATAGGCTGAGTGTTCCTGTTCTGAATAGAATTTGACATTCCAGGTTTTCTTACTGTCGTCTGATGCTGACTGGAGCTTATTTGTATAATAGTTACGTCTGGCATTTCTAACTGCTTGAGTTACTCTATTTCTGATACTTCGGTAAGCATCACCGAAAGTTATGGGTCTTTTTGCAAATTTCCTTTGGAGTTTGTGTTTTTCCTTTATCATTATCTTAATTTCACCTCACTTCGTATACACAGATTCACCAGTAAATTGACAAACATATCTACTTAGGGGGATCATAGATAGATACTGTACTAGTAACGACACTCACTAGTCACTCACGAATCAGATTTCCTGGAAATCAGACTGGGTACTCCTGGAAAGACCCTGCTTTTCGACGAAAAACACGGAGCTCCCAGACACACGTCCCACTACCACGAACACTAGGACCTCAAGGTTGGCAGAAAAGCAAACATTGCCATAACCAATTTAAGTCGCACAATTGGTCCATTCAGTACAAGCCTGCCCCCACCCCCCCAAAAAAAAAAATTAGTTTATTCACCCCCACCACTCCTTCTCTAGTCAAGGATACTGGCTACGGGCCTGATGCCATATCTTCGTAAATAGAGCCAATTGGCAATTATAAGCATAATTTTTGTACTCGGCGCCCCAAAATTAGTAAAGATTGACTACTCTCATTTGTGAAGCCAACACCGTCGGTGGAGTGGATATTTAGATTGCTCAAACCGTGCATCTTGCTCCAGAGGTAACATCGAAAAGTGGTGATCTTTTCAACTGTTTGTATGTTTATATTCCTGTTAATATCAATTTGCACAAAATAACATAACCAAGCGATTTCCGAAAACTTAAAAAGTTACCCAGTAACACTTTCGAAGAGGCGCAGGTTGAGTTAGGTTGGAAAAGTCATGTAGCCCGGTTTATGAGTCATCAGGTTTGGTTCCTTGGGTTTTTGGTTTTCCATTTTTTAGGTTAGGTTAGTTTCTTAATGTTGCTCGTTAACATCTCGGCTAAATAGCCTCCAGTCTGCCCAGCCGAGAATTCCCGGCTAAGAAGCCACATCCAATTCAATTAACTCCTAGTGAGTAAGATAAGTTTTGCTTCATCATTTTGGAACTTTTGGAGGCTGACAGCCTCAGCACATTTCCTGGTGTACGAGAGTCATGATGATTCATTTCGAATCATTCAGGCCCAAGGAAATTTTTATTATTTCACTAAATAGAAGTCTGGTATAGTACCCGTAAAGCACACAAAAATCGCTCTTAAGCAGCAAACAATCTCCTGAATGTTTCGGTAGGAAAGTTGTAAACGAAATCGCTTCGAAAAATAATATATATTTTAATACAGTAGTGGAGTTCCTAATAATAGCCAAATTTATCTCATTATTAAACAATATTTTTTTCTGTTTATATTTAAACTTGTACTACATATAGACGCTAGTAAATGTATAAATTATGAGCACATTGTTTCATAGGGTTTACTATTGGGGCACCCTACCCCTTCTCATGAAGATTCCAGTAATCTGTAGACAGTGTCTACGGATATCCGCATGCAGGCAAAGACCACGCCGTCACCTTTCACTACACTTCTTGAATGCCAACTGTAGGCACTGCCTAGAGGAATACCCTACGGTCCACGTTCTGGAGTCCGGTCGATAGTAACAAACTACCAATTTTAATTTCCTCTAACCAAACTAGTGCATGTATCCACCTAGTAACCGTATGATTATTCCTGGAGGATTTTGACAGTGCTAGCTTTAAAGACTAGGAGCAGAGGTGTTCTAGTGAATCCAGAAACTAATTAGGCAGTTATGGATACTAATTAGAGAGTTGCGTGTCAGCTCCAGAGACTCTCTGTCTTCAAATAAACCGACTGACTTTGATGTAATGATTAGGATGAATTACAAGGAGGCGCACAGCAACCTGGAAATTCTTGTAGAGTCATTCTTCACCAAGGTCTGCTGTTGCCGGATTAACTCACTCAGCACGATGGTCTACTTGGTCGACTGCTAGCATGAGTATCTGTTCATGTTGATGATGCACGTATTGACCTCACTCTGTTGGTGGTGAAGTAAGCATGTACTGGTTCGGATGTATCTCTGTCAGGATAAATATTAAACAATCCTAAGGTAGCATTTTTATAATCGCAAACTCTTCATTGCTATTTTAGATCACGAAAAGTTTCCAAATGTTCGCATATTTGCTTTAATAATTTAATCAACAAAATTTGATGTGAGAATCTTGTAGCAGCCCTGGTTGTAGCTGAGTTACCAATTCGTTAATATATTTTTTTTATTATATAAGGAAACGATCTTAAATAACGACGAATAGTTTATTATTATAAAAATACTACCTTAGGATTGTTTAATATATATCCTGACAGAGATACATCCGAAAATAAATCCACCAATCACAATCCCCATTACATACAGTACATGCTTACTTCACCAAGTATTGCCAGGTAAAATTGCGAATACGAGAGCCAGGGTGAGGTCGCTGCATCTTTGGTTGACTGTACATCACCCTGGCATGGATGATTCAGTGATCTATTATTGTGATGTGGATTTGCAGAGAAAGCGTTGTATTAGCTGACCATAGACAATAAGAAAAATGTTTTTATCCCTTAGTGTTTTGTCATTGTAATGTGATGTAATTGATGATGATAATAAACTTAAGATGTCATTTTGTTACGCCAGTTGCAGTATACCAAGCGAATGTTTCATTTTTTAATCGATAAGTAAACATAATACTCCAGAATTTAACGAGTTTTAAATATTGTGTAAATGAAGTACAAGACATTTTATGAAACAAATTTGTATTAACATTGCATTGTCAAATTGTCAATTTCGTAGTTGATGACGATTGAATTATCAATTGAAACTGTTATTGTAATTATGAATCCTAATCTTGGCTCAAAAAGTCTGAGTCCGTAGAGTTTTCCCATACCCGGTTAATCTATTGTGACACACATCTGAAAATCAATCTTCACGAAACGAATTCTTAAACACTAAAACACAAATCAGTAAATGTCACGACCGCAGCTCAAGATAAAAATACCAAATTCAGTAATGGGAGTATTAGGTACCTCTCTCTCTTACATCTGAAGGTACAGTACCTCAATAAGAAATATGTTTTTCATTAATAAGTGCAAAATATTTAGTTAACATTATTCCCTAGTTGTAATTTTTTAGATTCTCTGATATTTAAGAGGATGTACTGTGGTTGGTTCTGGGGGGTAGGGGGCGAATGAGTACGTTATGCATAATTCCAAGGTATATTAAGGGCAGTTTGGACCGGCAGAAGTCTATACGAGACATGAACCTCTTGGGGAAGCAATAACCCGGACGGAGGTGGACTTTGAAGCACTCTTGAGTACCATCTTGATCACTCACCCGCTTCTCCCCCTCAAGACTCGCACATCCACATCTCCCCTCAAGACTCGCTCATCCACGTTTACCCCTAAAGATTCATTCATCCACATTTTCCCCTCGAGATTCCCTCATCCATATTTCCCCCTCAAGACTCACTCATCCACATTTTTCCCTCGAGATTCCCTCATCCATATTTCCCCTCAAGACTCACTCATCCACATTTCCCCCTTAAGATTCACACATCCACATCTCCCCTCAAGTCTCGCTCATCCACATTCTCCCTCAAGACTCACTCATCCACATTCTCCCTCAAGATTCATTCATCCACATTTCCCCCTCAAGATTCATTCATCCACATCTCCCCCTCAAGATTCATTCATCCACATCTCTCTCAAGACTCACGCATCCACATATCCCCCTCAAGACTCACTCATCCACATATCCCCCTCAAGATTCACAATCCCCCTCAAGATCATCATATTCTCCCTCAAGATATCATCTCCTCAAGATTCATTCATCCCCCATCAAGATTCCCTCAAGACTCATTCATCCACACATCCCCCCTCAAGATCCCCTCAAGATTTCATCCACATCTCCCCCTCAAGATTCATTCATCCACATCTCTCTCAAGACTCACGCATCCACATATCCCCCTCAAGACTCACTCATCCACATATCCCCCTCAAGATTCATTCATCCATATTCTCCCTCAAGATTCATTCATTCACATTTCCCCCTCAAGACTCATTCATCCACATCTCCCCCTCAAGACTCGTCCACCCACATACCCTGAAGATCACGTGCATATCCCCCTCAAGACTCATTCATCCACATCTCCCCCTCAAGACTCGTCCACCCACATACCCTGAAGATCACGTGGCTGCTGCTCTAAGTCCATGTTAAACAAAGTAATGTTACAATATACGAGGTGGAATTTTATATGTAGCGACTTCGTTTGCTAATAATGAAGTATCTTTTGCGATGGTTCATTAGATTCTTTACCCTATTGATATTATACGAGTCTTATTTTCATGGTAATATAGTATAAAAAAAATTATATACTTAAGGCAAAACTTCCACCAGATAAAAATGAACAGCTTAAATGCGATTGTGTTCCATAAAGCAAATAAAGTTAGTTTTCCTCAGTTTTCGTGATAGATTAAGTTCGGAGGAAACATAATCTTGTAAACATGAAAAATAATTAAAACATTAAAAGAAAAGAAGAGATTTACTCCAGTGTGCTCAGAACGTTGCCGTCTGTCGTATTTCAAGATAAAACAGTTAGATAACTTAATGAAATATACTGGAGGAGTTGAGTTGTCAGGCTGGAAATTATTTGAGGAAAGAAACGGGAACAAGAAATAATAATGCTTTTGGCTGGTGCGTGTTATTCTCCCCGCGAGCTGTTACGGCCCAGCTACAACTGACAGTTTTTGTCGGGGAAATTGACCGGTCATCACAACAAGTTGTCATCATAACCCAAACAGACTGACCTAACCAGACAGGAAATATTATGTAGTCTTGGTATATTTGATCTGATCGAATGATTTTTGTTTTGTCTTACAGAAACATTTTGTATCTTCAGGTAGCAGTTATTAAAAAAAAAACTTATTTCTTAAAGCAATGACTGTGCGATTCTCGTAAAGGTGACATAAATTTTGTTACCCGGTTGTGTTCCTCCTCTTCCTGCTCCTCCTCTTTCTATATTGCTTAGAAAAGATTTTAAACCCGATTCACTCTTGGCTGTCATAGATCAAGCTCGATAAATCACGCATACTGACATACAAAGTTCTAGATCGTAGGTGAAAGTTAAGATCATAGTCATTGTTATTAAAACTTCTTGTGTTTCATATATCTTAAGACGGAATAAACGGATCTTGACCAAATTATGTCTTATTGGGAGCTCATGGGTTAAGGTAGAAAGGGAAGAGGTACTAAAAATACATCTGTCTCAACGAAACTGTACAGTATCTTGAGACAGGATGAATGGATATTGACCTTTTAAGTATGGAAAAATGAAATATTTAGGCTCCACTAACAGTGTGTATCAGGGGAGGTTTGTGTGTTTCACAAACTTTGTTCATGTTCTTTTTTAATTAAACTTATTTTTATATTCTTACCTCCTGATTAAAGAATATGTGAACTAAAGTCCCCTTTTTCCGTTCGTGGTCATTTTTTTTTCCATAAAGACTGCTGGGTAAGAACAGGGGGTGTGAAGGTATTCCCTGCACGTTCCTCTGGACACAAGGTAATTACTTTATGCTAGTGTAAAACTAAAGTACAGCTGGCCTACCAATTAGGAGTTACATCCCACGAAGAAGAAAAAATTACAAACTTGCTCCCGGAAAGATATGCAATTGTTTCGACAGTTCTAATTGCTTTTATAAATTGGTTCTGTCATTTATTTCAGTGTTTCTCAATGCCTGTCTGTATCTAGTCTCTCAGACAGATTGAACAAAACAGGGTGAACTCCCTAAAATCCGCACGTTCATCATCCCTGCAGATCCTCCACACTGACAGACTTGACGTACATACTTCGTGGCTGAAAAGAATCCCACAGGGGAAAAATAGATTATCCTCAGATGATACCCACCTAACTTTCCTACTACCTAATCGACGCCTATCTCTACCCATCTTTCTTCCGTCTCTCTCTCTCTCTCTCTCGACATTCCTGGCTCTCATTCATTCCTTCTCCCTCCCCGTTATTCGTTGTCTTTCCTATCTCCAGTCCTTTCATTTTTTTTGCTTTTCCCCTGTTCTTCCTTCTTTTTTTCTCTTCTGGCTTTCTTCTTTCCATTCTATTTCTCTTTCCTTTTTTTTACTCACTCATCTAACTTGTTTTTTTCTCTCTACTCTTCCTCTCTATCACTTTCCTTCCCCTATGCCTCTGTTTCCGTCTGCCTGTTTTTTCCTTCCCCCCCCCCCTCTTTCTCTCCACAATTTCTTTCATCACCCCCTCCCCGCTCCTTTCGCCTCTTCTCTCTTCATTCCCTTTTCCCTCCTCTCTCCCTTCTCTCTCTCCTTCATTCCCCATGATCCACCTCTCCCTTCTCCTTCTCGCTACCCTCTCCGGCCTACACTACATCAGTATACGAGGATGGTTAAAATGGGCTTTTATTTCCCAAATCTCTCTGAACCGAATCTCAAGAACCTGCTGGTGAATAATGGAGGAGTTACGAGGAGAGCTTAAAGGTGCAATAATTCTGTGGGCTGAGTGTCAACTCGTAATGTAGCGGTGAGGAGCGAGGGATTTGTAAACATCCCAAGTTCCGCCGCTCTCCACTCTGCTGCCTCCGCCCCCATCGTCGCTGCCACCAACGCCACCCTCCGCTGCCTGGGAAATGTATTCCTTCTCCTATACTCGATACTATAAATTCACTGATAAATATATTCCCCGGAGTAGATGTACTGTATATTCGTGGTAGAATGGCGTATTGTGTATGTTTGTTGATGTCTGTTTGTTTGAGTTTGTGCATGAGTAAGTGTGCAACTGTGGATGTGTGTGTGTGTGTGTGTGTGTTTGTATGAGTGTGTGTATACTTCTGAGTACCAGGAATAGAGGTTCATGTCCCAATCAATTTACTTAGTGACAGTGGGTAAAATTAAACATTCCAATTTCGTCCCGGGCCTCCGAAGATGTACTCCTAGAGACTGGTAACTCAAGAACATCAGGTAGTGATAACTGGAGTGTATTTAAAAGAAAAAAGCTTTTCGTAAATGCCCTGAACGTGGCTAACGGACGGTGAATATGACGTATGCCATGCTAAATATATATAGCACGTATACAACCCTTCCGCATCGTTATGTATTTTACCCCTCTTGAAGTTCAGGTGGAAATGAAAAACTGTGTATCAGAATGTACACGACAGAACGAAAGCTATTTATAACATCAACAGCAACAAACCAGTGCTGTTGCTGCTGTTACTTCTACCACTACTACTATTGTTACTGTTACTGCCACTGCTTCTACCACTACTACTATTGTTACTGTTACTGCCACTGTTTCTACCACTACTACTATTGTTACTGCCACTGCTTCTACCACTACTACTATTGTTACTGTTGCGGCCACTATTTCTATCACTACCATCATTGTTACTGATGCGGCCACTGCTTCTACCACTATTACCATGGTTACTGTTGCGGCCAATATTTCTACCACTATCACCATTGTTACTGATGCGGCCACTGCTTCTACCACTATTACCATTGTTACTGTTGCGGCCACTATTTCTATCACTACCATCATTGTTACTGATGCGGCCACTGCTTCTACCACTATTACCATGGTTACTGTTGCGGCCAATATTTCTACCACTATCACCATTGTTACTGATGCGGCCACTGCTTCTACCACTATTACCATTGTTACTGTTGCGGCCACTGCTTCTACCACTACAATTATTGTTACTGTTGCTGTCACTGTTTCTACCACTATTACTATTGTTACTGTTGCGGCCATTGCTTCTAACACTACTACTATTATTACTGGTATTGTTAATATTCCTACCACACTACTGTTACTACTTTTACCACTACTACCGTTTTTTTTTTTTTTTTATGGCCTCCAGTCTCCCCCAAGAGCTGTACCTTCGCCATCATTTTATTAACTTAGTATTAACTATCCTAATACATAAGAAGCTATCCTAGCTGTGTTGAGTTAGTTGAGCCGCAGATCTATGCGGCATTCAGTGACTGTTGCCTCATTGTCAATATCTGCAACTGTTGTCGGCTTTTGGGGCCGAAGCTCTCGTTCCCCTGAGGCAGAGCAAAGCCAACCGAAGGAGAGAGAAGGACAGTCGACATCTCATCCAGGCTGTAATATAACTTCTGGGCTGCTGCTTCTGTTCGGATAGCACCTCCGCGTGTGTGTCTGGCGTAGAAACATCTTGCACTTGGTCCCTTCCCACCAGAGGTTGTAAACACTAGAGGAGTGAAGCTGCCTTGATCAACGTTCTGAATTCTCTCCCCGTATGCCATTATCTTGTCGTTGTCGTTCCTCCTGTGTGTACCATCGAGAGCTAAGTTACAGTGATGTGCGGCCATGGGATAAAACAAATCCTGATGTCGAAGAAGGCTCGCTGTCCCCGCGTCCAGAATCCTCGAGCACTGACGTCAACACGGGCTTCGTTGGATGTATTTGAAGTCCTATGCTGGAAGATCTCACCGTCCAATGGAAGGAGGGTCGGTTCTACCATAACATCACGGCAGATTTCCTTTAACATATTTGCTGTGAGATCCCTTACTTCTTCATGCCTCATGCATATGAAGCCCCTTTCTTGCACACCATGGTGTGAGCGACGTCATAGGAAGAGCCACACACGCATTGGGAGGGCAAACCTTCAACTGACCTACCGTACCTTAGAGCATTGGCATCTGTAAATTCTTGTTTATTGAGACTGAAACCATTTGCCCTTATCGCTAACGTAGTTAACCAGTTCGAGGCGCCCACCTCCTGCGCTATAGCTACTTTTGTTTCAAATTCTTTGGTACTTGCAGCAACAGTTGCTGCAACTTATCACTTTGGCCGTGCTGTCGTTCTGTCGTAATGGACCTTCGAATCTTGTTTACTTCACTGGTATCCACCTCACCTGTTGCGTTCTGAGCTATTATATGGTCGGTGAGGGCTGCCGTGAGCTTAACTGAGTTTTGATGTTCGGTGGCAGGAATCTCCCAGTCTCGGCGGTAGTGCAAGGAGTGTTCTTTCTGCTGGGGTTAAGTGAGGGTGTTTCACTAATTTGGGAATGAAATTATCGCTGATAGCTTCTTCCAGAGGGTGGAGGAGGGGTCCGATATCAGGGATAGTGCGCATCAGGTACTTCCAGCGATGCTTGACTCCATGGGTGAATGCCGCAAAAGCCGCATGTGGCTCTGTGTTAGCAATCTCAGACAGATCTTGGATTTCCCTAACCCACTCATTCACCTTTCCCGTTACGTACTCGGTCTTGAAGTCCGTCGTACCGATTACTGCACCTAGGTATCTTTGGCCATCCTTTGTTATTTTGACTTCACTTCCACCGAACACTTCCATTGCCCGTTCATAATGTTCTGGCTTCACAATGAGAAAGGACTTGCTGGCGTTTGGGTGTTACCCTATTTGTGGGCAACGTGATGTTACCAGGTCTCACCACTTTTTGATGTCCTCCACTTTTCCTGCTCCTGTAAGGTCATGAGCATTCGCCACTTGCTTGACCTCAGTTGTCTTTAATTTTATTGTGAGTTGGAGCACGGATAGGTCTATTGCGTACATTGCCATTGCAACAGGGTCCCCTGCGTTGTTCCCTCAGTTGACTGTATGATGTATGATGGTATCACCTCTTAGAGCCTTGGTGTTTACTATATAGAGGTCTAATGGATTCTTATAGGTGTTTTCAACATACATTGCAAAGCTTGGACACTAGATCTTGATGTTGTGCAGTGCGGCCTTGCGGTTAAGTACAGTATGTTGAATGCATTGGAAACGTCAACCAGGAAAACGGCCTGACAATCACGCTGCTCAAATATCGTTCTCAGTGCGTGAATGGAAGCTTCCCCTTCAGCCTGGTGGCCAACACAAACTTGCAGGTTCCCTGCCGCTGCCCTGACATCATCCTTTACCACCTCCATTATGCCTTTTCCGATGATCCGCCTCAGCACTTCCCCCACCCCTATAGGCTTACATCCTGGACTCTCATCCAGGGGAATGAGTCGGCAGGCCGTCAGAGCATGGAGGTGTTGGCAGCACGAGGTTGCTAGCTTTCTTGCAAGGGCGTCAATGGCAGTGCAGAGATCACTTGCTACGGGGCCAAACTTGTTAGTGCTGAGGATGACTCCAACCGTTTGCATCCAGACCTGAAGGTCGGCACCTCCCTGAGTTTTCAGTGCCTTTTTCCACACCATCCCTTCTGTTATTTTCTCGAACAGGACAGCATTTGGTGGGATATAGTCACCCTGGAACCTGATGCCTTCGTCTTTACTTGCAGGGGGATGTTTTTCCAACAGCTGTTTTAATGTCTCTCTATTGGCAGAACACCACCAGAGGATTCCTCTGTGAGAGATCTTACCGCTAAAGACACTTTTCCCACACGCATTTTGTTTCCAAACTTTCTTGCAACGTCATCGGTGTTTTGCTTACCGTCTCTTATAAATTTTAGTCTTTCCTGTGGTGTTCTTGTTTCGCATAGGAAATCATCAAGGGCCCCACTCTGCCACATTGTCAATCTTATCTTCATTGCTGCCACATTTCCTTTGTGCTTAGTCTTTGTGTGTGTCCTCTGACAGAATAGATGGGGTATTATTACCAGTACTTGAAAAGCTAAAGGGGCAAGGAAGCAGCCCTTAGTGTACTCGGTTATGAGGCGAATCATTTCTTTGGTGGCCTCAAACTTAGGTGGTTCAAACAGGTTAGCTGTCGACCACCTGACAATTTCTGAGTAAGTTTCTTTAACCAATATGTCGCATTTTCCATCGACATGCCATGCCACTGTGGTGGCTGTCTCTCTTTCACCTCGTGGACATCTGCTACTATTGGAGCAGCGTTTATTGGTACTACATTTTCAGTTTGAGTAGACTCACTGCTATCATTTAGGTCTAGGATATCATCTGGCGGTTGGGTCCCGGCGATATCCACTGTGGCCTCCTGTGTTGGCTCCCTGCCATGTGGGTTCCGGCAATTGTTTCCCTTTCTGCAAACCACACATGGTCGGTTGTTTCTCGCACATTCACAGCTAGTGAAATTTTGGTACTGGCTAGCACAGACGCAACAATGTCTGTTACCCGGCATAGTGTTCCGCACTTCGGGCGACAGTTACGTCCGCCTCTGACATCTGCTTTGGTCCCATACAGAAGAAGAAACTCCTACTTATAAGGAAAGGGTGGAGAGATGACAGGCTGGACTGCTGTTTCCGGGTAGTAGGGGCATACGTGCGGGTGTGGGTGAGTAGGCCACCCCCCCTGAGGGCGACAATCCACACATCAGAATGATCCACTGGGAGCAAGAATTGTCACACCTAACACTTGTTTATATATCCTTGGCAGAAATAACCAATATTTCTATGGTCGCACTGATGTAAGATTAGTTATATATACTCACTTGGTCGGTCGTCACTACATGAAGTGACCGTTACTTGTGGGAAGCTACCGCAAGTGTAGAACACGTGGCCTTCTGTCACTGACCATAGGGGCGCGAGGCCACCCCCGCCAAAGTAGGCCTATCGACACTGGCACAGTGGCACACTGTACCAGCCGTCCCGCCAAGCACTCACAACTCGCTTCGTGATCGCCGGTGGATCCACGGAATATTTGCAATTAATGTCGTAAGGGATGAGAAGAACCTTCGGTGACAATGCTTAGGGTGACATCCGATATTCACCAACACTGTGAAATTCCCGCTCTCACACTGCCACTACTGTTACTGCTTCTACCTCTACTACTGTTCCTGCTTATACCACTACTACTCTTACATCTTCTACCAGTACTGTTGCTGGTATTTCTAATGTTCCTACCATTACTAATGTTACTGTTTCAACCATAACTGTTACTCTCATTGCCATAGATATTATTGATACTACTAATCTTTTTATTTCTCTTACGACTACTATTGTCTAACCTTTCCTTTTATTGATTCCGATAATATGCTTGCTGTTACCACCATTAAACACATCAGTAATAAATACAGCCAGTAATGCGACAACTCAATTTTTTTAAATTATTATATTCAGTTAACTCGACAATAATTGAGATGATGTCACCTAACACTTTAGTAATTCTGACCCCTGTTACTGTATTTTTTCACTTATACCAGATTTTAAATCGAGCTGGAAATTACCACGTATAAAATTAAGGAATAAACCCGATTATCCATATAAAAGTCTTAGTTAATCGCCTTATTGTACGGAAAACTTCTCTATTTTATAAATTCCTTTTCATCACGATAATAATTTTTCCAGCTGTTTCATCATCATATTGAAGACATACAATATCAGTCACCTTATTTTAGTCTTCTTTAAATCTTTATCGCGGTTGGAATCCTTCTCCGCTCTCGTGTTATGATAAGTCAGAATTCCTGTAGCCTTTACCAGATAACCTGATTATTCCTGGATAACTACTTTAACAGATTTACAGATCAACCTGGATTCCAGTTTTGGCATATAAAGTAAACCTTATGATGGAACTGTTTTATCAGATGGCTGCCTTATTTTGGTATTCCTATTGACTTCTTATCCGGTGATTATGTGGTACGAATGTTGGTGTAATAATAATAATAATAATAATAATAATAATTAACGGTTTATTGAAAGAGCTTGGCAGCCAGAAGGCTGAAAATATACAGTTACATATTTGGGGAATGGGTCACGAATTACAAATAATATACAAGTAACATAAGTGACACAAATAAGACATATAATAACTAGATGGGGAAAAGCTCAAACTACAGTTCATTTCAACATAGTGACAGTGTAAGGAGCAGTGTTTACTGTGAGTGAATACACTGATTTATTACAAGTTATTGA